ATATAGTGCCTTAAAACACGCAATAAAACAACACTTTTCTTTTTAATATTTACTAATGCTCAATGTATAATATATCATAAACACTTTTTACATCTTTGAACATGTTGGTCAAGTTATTAATACTACTTCACTGTCAATAGTAATCTTACAAATCTTACACATTTATGAATGGAATTTTTGGTTTGCTTGTGAGATGACGTCACTTACGTCACACATTTCGCGCCACACCGACAGGAGGAAAGTTAGTCACTGTCACTTTCAATCACACGTGGACGACGGCGGAAAGTTTGAGTCCCAGGGTTGGTGATATTGATATTTATAGAACAGTTTTGTTAATACGAGCCTGCAAACAATGCCTCCAATCGACTATGCGTGTTTGTGGATGAAGCGGTTGACGAGGACATAGTCGATGAGTGCGCGGGGAAAAACTATGAATTACTCCGCGCGCGAGGCTTTATTACACAGGCGCCTGTGTAATAAACGTCTATCATGACCATGTTTATTGCCCTGGACAGGCCTATCTGACACAGGTGGAAATGAGAGAAAAGTCTTTATAATCGGACAGTTGTCATGTCATGTGACAAATGTCTTTCCTAATTGGTAAGCATTCTCAGTTTCATTGATGACATCCACCATGTCAGTCTTAGTCAATACAAAAGATAATCTCAAATGAGAACAAGGTTAACAACTACAAAATCACAGCCTCAGTAACGAGCATCGAACATATGTATTTTATATTGCAAATATGTATTTAAACATTGTAACATAGCTGATGAAAGAAAACAACCTTGCCCTATCCAGGCCTCGAACTCACTATCTACGGCATCAAATCGCCAAGCCAAGAAATTCGACAACTGCCTAACCAACTCCACCAACCATATATATATATATCATTATTGCCAATGTGATCATGGTGACGACCATGGGACTTCCTCATTTCCTCCATCAACCTTTCTTCCTGTTGCCTTGTGTTGCATTACTATCTGGCAGCAGTTGATATCTTGTATCCAATCAAAAAAATAGAGCGAGTCCTTGAATATCGAATGAACTGCGACACGTGGACATCGTAGGTTGGGGAAGCAGAATGTTGTTGTTTAGAAAAAGAGATGGTTAATTATAAATCATCATCATCATCATCATCATCTCTCTCTCTCTCTCTCTCTCTCTCTCTCTCTCTCTCTCTCTCTCTCTCTCTCACACACTCTCTCTCTCTCTCTCTCTCTCTCTCTCTCTCTCTCTCTCTCTCTCTCTCTCTCTCTCACACACACACACACACACGTTAATAAATGAAAACAACGTATACAACAACGGAACCAAACAGAAATAACTTTTTAAAAATTGTTATCAATCTGCATTTCTTTGTTGAGTTTGTCCATGATGCAGGAATGTTGCTATCCAGAAATGGAAATTTCATAATAGGGAATTGAAATTATCGCGCTTGAATGTTGTCAATGTTGGTTTCTATGTAGGAAAAGGTCGAGATAAGATTTGACATTAACATTGTTTGACTGAATCTGGTACGTGCATTTCGAAGATGAAATTATAGTTATCTTTTGACTAGAAAACGGTAATTACCTTTTCACGTTACGAAGCTAGATGTGTGCCTGAAGCAGAAAACATTGCTCTTCCATAGCATTTTCTTTGATTCTTTAGATGTGTTTCCGTGTAAATCTTCCCTTTCTTTATTCTTGATCATCCTTTCAAAGGTTGTGAGTTTGAATTCAGATTCTGTTGGATCAGGTTTCAGGTTCCGCTGGTGCTCTGTTGTTGTTACAATTTGAAATATTTTGAGGCATGTACTACACTATTATCATATTATGTTTTCAAATTAAACTGGAATTTGACACCATGTTGATATTAAACTGCATCTAGAGATATAAATACAGTATTTTACCAATACTTACTAATTTACCGTTTAACTAACATCCCTGACCAAAATTAAAACGGTCTTCAGATACATATGAATGAAATGTATCTAGCAGTGTAGAGTTACCTCTACTGGTTTGTTTCACCTGCTCTACAATTTGATTGACGTCACAACATTAAATTTGACAGAGCCTTTGTTTACACTCATCAATCATGACAACGAGCCGACATGAGTCCTTCACTTTGAGTTATTGCACACATGCTTACCTTGGTTCTAATGGACATTGAGATAAAACACGATGACAATCTTTCTCGTCTTATGTCTAATACATTTTGGGTTTTATTTCACTGATCTTCATGCTTGCCCTACTTTAAAGATATATCATAGGGTTTGACTTTTTATAGATGTTTAGTTACAAAAGAAACTACAAATCTTTGTTTTCTAATGCGATACTACTTGCCTAATTAATATCTGCTATCATGGTATACAGAAAAGATTGCTCCTTTTTTGTTCTGAATATTGATTGATGAAAATTTACAAGAGAAAGTCGTGCTTTCCTTAATGTAAGGTCACAGACGTTACGATGCTCGGTTTATGTCTGCATAATATCTTGATTAAAACCTGTAGTAAATTGTCACATCCGGAATTCAACGTGTGCAGTGGATCACTGTAAACCATCAGTCGGAGAGTATGAGGGGGATAGGACTCTACATATCTCTACTTACTGTTCTCATCAAAGGTAAAGTATATTGTGCTGTCTTCTCTTTTGCTGATTGTTCTATTGATAATGTAGATTTATTGTTTTTACATTATTGACAAGTGTTAAATGGTATCATTAATAGGGACTAACCTTTGTTAAAAGAACAGCATAGTAAAAAAATGAGAATAAATATAAATGCACGAACGTGTAAATTACGTTTTCTATTAAATAACACATATGAGTGAAGATAACGCATAACATAAGCATATGTAATTCTAAGGAAAAAGTGTGTATAATAATTATATAAACATGTCGACGTACTTTTAGGATTTTTCTTTGTTAAGTAAGTAAGTCAATGGACAATAGATATTACTGAATATGCTATGAAAGTATGATACCGAAATCTAAATAAGTGATGACACAATGCTGTATTGTTGTACCTGTGTAACCTGTTGACACAGTGGCTTTTAACATGACGTACATACGCTGCTACATAGCTCGTTTTATTACCTAGAGCTACGAACACATATTTCCTGAACAAAAGAGTTCTTCATATCAGCTTTACAGATATACATTAAATATGTTAAAAACGTTATACATACCGATGACCGTAGTGACCAGTGTTGGGATTTGTAGGTGCTACGTAACATACAATTCATATAAGATAAAAATAAAGATGTACTTATTTTACAGTGAATTTTACTGGGTTGTTAATACATCACTGTGGCTGTTAAGTAGCTAACAATGCATTAATTGACATAATCCAGATGTTAACTGACCCATCTCTGACCATGAAGTAACAAAGGTAGATTTACGTAACATTTCAAATACAATTTTCTCTCTTACCTGAAAGTGGTGCAAAATTAAATACTTTATTGTAGTGGATCTATAGAAAGTGTTCTCATATGGTTGCATGGCTTCAGGCTATATAATTAACTGCCTATCCCATCCCTAAATTAACATTTTAAAGGGCGTTCACTACGGTACCGTTAAAAGATGTTTATGATTATCTTATTTTTGATTACATATCAATGTACATCATGCGTATGTCTTATGGAAAATTTTATTTTGTTGTTGACGCCATTCACAATTTTTTTTTTCATTTCACAATAAACTGACAGGTCTTACTGACGTCACAGTTCGCCTTCACAGAAATCATGGATTGCAACATTTGTTTAATATTTCGAGATAATAAAGAGAAAAATGATTCTATCTAAAATAAACAATTATGTTGAATTAAAACATATATATGATGCTACCCTAAAAGGAACTGTTTTATTGAGTACAACAAAATAGGATACTATAAAAAAAATGTAACGGTGCCATTAGTAAAATGTCTTCATATTTTTACACGCCAATTCCAATTTTGCATTATCAAAATTTCAGAAACGGTATTATGTGGCAACTAAATAGTCTATGTTGTGTCACATAGGTTACGCCAAATCTCGGGTTTTGAAAATCCAACAGCAGTGTCTACCACCTGCTGTCTTGAAAATTACAAAAGACAAGCAAATCAAAGGCACGTTTTAGAACAATTATTAACAATTTGTTTTTGAAACATCTATCTGTATTCCTCTCAAATAATCCATTCGTTCTATTTTCGGTTCCCTTATCTGTTAAAAGTTCTTGGTGAACATAATTTTACCATTCGGACTCTCCGAGCATATAAAAATGCTTCTACTAACTAACAATGGGAAAATGAACAGAAAATCCCTCTTTACATCGGAAACGACGTGATATCAGAACATTTGAATATATTCTTGTCATTTTTCAGGAGTCTCACTGTAAGCGTTTTGGTGCATCGTTTCTCATTTTTTTCATGAAATTTGAACTTAAATTAACATTTTGTTGACAAATATTGGTATTTTATTTCTTGTTTTTGTGTTCATCCATAGAGAACTAAATGTAAAATGTGCTACATGTTTCATGATTGTAGTATCTTTGTCAACTCGTGAGTTATGGAAGCAAAATAACAATTAAATCGAACAAGGATATAAGATTTTTTTATCATTTATATTTAGAATTTGTTAACACGTGATATTATAAACAATGCATGTAATGAAGTTTCGTAAGCATGTCCTGTTTGTTGTTCTAAAGAAATGATAAATTAAAGAAGTATCCTTTCTTAATAATTCGAGATAAAAATCAATCAAAATGGCAGAATGCGAAAGGGAAGGTGTGCTATGTTTGGTTATTTCACAAAAATGTTAAGGTGTAGATTTGATAGCCGTGCTAAGAAGCGGATGAATGTTAAAAAGTAAACATATACACACTTATAGATAAATACATTGCAAGGAAAAAGTTATATTTTGTAAAGTGAAAATCGCATTATTTAATTTTGTAACGAAGAGCTGCACAACATTGTTTATATTAAACGAAAAATTGCTATTGTTTCAATGATATGGCTGTGAACTTACTGCTTGTATATCAAAGGGGAGACAGAATGGAATCAAATGGCCAAAGATACACTTAAAGAGGCACTGAAGGCGACGTCTAACATAAACGTAGCCAAAAATGTTATACTCTTTATTGGTGACGGGATGGGTGTGTCAACCGTGACCGCAGCCAGGATATACAAGGGCCAACGAATGGGGAACCCCGGGGAGGAGACAGTCCTGTCGTTTGAGAAGTTTCCACATGTTTCTCTTTCAAAGGTAATGCGTGACAGTTTATTTATTTTTTTTTTATTTTCTAATTCCTTAAAATTTAAGAAATTCGGTAACTACGCATATTACTTACATGTTCTATGCAATCTTAAATGGTATTTACGCTGGTTATGAATCAATCCCGCACTGACTTCTACAAGCAGTGCTTTTCTTATGCTAAGTAGGCTATTCAGAAAAGCTAATAAGAACATTCGAATAACACACATGCTGCTTTTTAGGTCTACTCTGTTGACCGACAAACGCCAGATTCGGCAGCCACAGCTACAGCCCTTATGTGTGGGATAAAGACAAATAACGGTGTGCTTGGTGTCAAGGAAACAGTTCTCAAAGAAGATTGTGGAGCGGTCAACGGACAAGAAGTTACATCAATACTGAAACATTTTATAGCTGATGGTATGAAACAATAACGTTAAATCCACTAACTAAGGAACATGTCGACTATGTTATATCCGATTTGAATACAGGTTACTCTGCTGGGTGACCTGAATCAAGCAGGATGGGTTGTGTTGCTTTTGTCTTTTCGCTTTTCCTGTTATTTTTTCAATTTCTCCTTGACCGTTTTTCAAGCATTTTGTAATTTACATCTTCAACTAGTTCTCGGGTACTGATATTGGGCTTGTAGTATGCTGAGATCAGGGTCTTCCTAAATTGTTAAGATTAATGAGCCTGGTCTTATTCTAATGTTACTAGGGTCAAATAGGTTCAAATCCTCAAACAGCATCTTATCAATGACTAAAAGGCCTTCGGTACCGATATTGGTTCTGAAACATGCTGGTATGGAAAACTACCAAGTTTGCTTATCCTAAATAACAAACCGAATCTTTTGTGTTTTATCTGATTTCTAAATATTTAAGAACAAATTATTATAATAACTCGTTCTTTATGATTAACGAGAATTAAGATCAAAATGATATCTCTTTGCTTTATCATTCAAATATCATTTTTCTTTCTCTGCTTTTCTTCACTGTTTCTCAATGATACGGAGAGGGGAGATACATGATTTAAAAAATAAATAAATAAAGTTTTAACTTCAAATTTTCATGATTGTTACGTCAGCTATGGACGCTGAAGGACGGGGCCAAAACGGTCGGATTGAAAAAAATCTTCTAAAGACCCACTAGAATGATGCACTCTTCATGATTGAAGGGTCTTAAGGTGCTTCATCATATCGTCCATTGTATGACCAAGGGTTTCGCATTTCCGCTGATGACTGAAATTCTCATAAGAAAACGATTTTTTTCGGTCTTACTTGTTGAAATATTCATTGGAAGTCATTTATAACTGGATATAATTATTAGCATGGGACGATACTTCAATGTTTAGCATATTTTACATTTACATTGTATGTACAATGTAGTTCTTTCTGGTCTTTCCTAATTACAAACAACAGCAAAAACGAGAGCTTTCATAGAACTCGAATGATCGTTAACTGGATAGAATTATTAGCATGGGACGCTACTTCAATGTTTAGCACATTTTACATTTACATTGCATGTACAATGTAGTTCTTTCTGGTTTTTCCTAATTACAAACAACAGCGAAAACGAGAGCTTTCATAGAACTCGAATGATCGTTAAGAATATCGGGGCTCATGTTTGTTTTTGTTTTCATTTCTTTTTGCTGCCGTTAGATCTTTCTGTGATATAGGTATAAACTTTCCTTCCCATCAAAACACATTGATTTATGGTGTTTTGATAATAATAATGATATCGTTGGGTTTTGAATCTATTCATCAAATGTTCTATGTATTAACATTATTGATAGATTAAAAATAGCTCAAAGTGTCATTATCTTTCTTACAGCACATAGAAAAATCTTCAGAAAAGTACAATAATTCTTGTTTGTTTGATGTTTCGTGATAGGCAGAAGTACAGGGATAGTGACTACGTCGAGGGTGACCCATGCCACGCCCGCTGCAGCCTACGCACATAGTGCCTCGCGAGACTGGGAGAGCGATGCTCTTATGATGTCAGTGACAGGGGATTGTAAGGATATAGCCTACCAATTGGTATACAACAATGATATACAGGTACGACAGTGATGAGATACAGGTAAATGATACACAGGCACGACAGTGATGAGATACAGGTAAATGATACACAGGCACGACAGTGATGAGATACAGGCAAATGATACACAGGTACGACAGTGATGAGATACAGGTAAATGATACATAGGTACGACAGTGATGAGATACAGGTAAATGATACACAGGTACGACAGTGATGAGATACAGGTAAATGATACACAGGTACGACAGTGATGAGATACAGGCAAATGATACACAGGTACGACAGTGATGAGATACAGGTAAATGATACACAGGTACGACAGTGATGAGATACAGGCAAATGAATTAATATGCTCTATGTATGTAATATTTGTTTCTTGATAAAGGGGCAGGTTGCCTCGAAAATTTGGCAATTCTCTTGTCCGTGCTGTCGCGTTTACTTCATTGATATATTATATATACTGATTGCAAACACGAGAGTTCAGCATAAGCGCTTTCATTACTTTATCCCTGTTGACGTCATAGATACTTTTACTTTATATATTTATATTTGGTGGTGGAATGGTAAGTTTTTTGTATGGAATTTCTTGGCTTGGTAATTTGGTGTAGTAGAACGGTTCAGAATATGCATGTGTACTTGGCGTTTTGGTAATATTATCAGAAATATGAAACTAATGAAATTTTCTTAATTATAGGCAGGGGCATTTAAATTGTCTCCCTTCCTCAATTGTGTTACAGGGTTCAAAATATCAATATATTAACACGATGTATCATATACTATAGTGTTTCTTGATCCGAAGGATTCAGATCCGCTCCTTTAATAAGGCACAAAATATTACACAGTACATAGAACATAAAATAAAGACAAAATTACAAGCTATAATCGAGAACAATGATAGTTTGTAAGTTTGTTTTGGTTTTATATATCAATAATTTTCACTTACTAGATTTCTGTTTACGTCGGTAGGTTGTTTTGGGCGGAGGTAGGGGACCGTTTTTACCGGACACTACAGCTGACCCCGAGACAAAGACAGTTGGCTGGATTCACAGAAAAGATGGCCATGATTTGACAAAGGTTTGTATAAGCCATTCCCGTAATACCGTAATATGTTATGGAATAGAAACTGCCTTTAATGAATATTCATGTATAATTAAATTTGAACCATCTTTAATATATGCATTTATTAACGGAATGTTGTAAGTAAATCCAAATAGTGCAGTTGTGATGCAGTTAGGTGACGGTTCAATGCATATATCGCCAGTTTCATAACGAAGCGAGACTCTTCGGTACTTTACGTGTAAATGACGAACGCTTCTCCTCTACGGAAAAAGACGCCGAAACTGGAACCGTCTTCAACCATAAATCAGATCAACCGAAAATCAGATAGACTCTAATCCTGATAAGCTAACGTTGTATTTTTCAACAAGCTACTAACGCATATGCTTTTTAAGATTATTGAAATTCTTTCATACTGTCTGTATGTTTTTAATTCCACATAAAAATAGATTTTGTCGGACATACGGGTCGGAATTTCCCATTGCGTGCTGCGATAAATAACCCAGTGACCAGCCGCACAAGTCGAATCACATTTTGTTTTTATAGGATGTTTTGTGACTTACATTTGATTTCTGTACGAAATACACAGTAGAAAATCTCAGGAAGATGTCCACGGTGACAATAACGTGTATTATAGAAAAATAGCCGAGTGTAATCAATATGGCCGAACTTAGGGAACGGAAACAGAAAGCCGGAAATTTGGAGTAAAAGTTACTTTTACATATGAGGTGTCGTAGATGAAGCAGTAGACGCTTACCATTTCGGAACACCTTATTCTCCTTGTACTTTTTCATGAATCTCTACGTAAATCTTTCTTTTGTTCATATTTCCCCTAATTTTATTGAATTTGTGTTTTGATTATGATTATCTGGACATGTTGGTAATTTCTTTTTTTAAACAGCTTCGCTGTACTATAAAGAAAATATATGTCACGTGATTAGCGTTTAGAACATAACTGTCTAATTACATCCTAATGATGTTCTTTTATGTCAGGAGCGACTGAGAGATAAGGATATTTAGCTTTGATTAAACACAATTTACCTACTGGTTAGTTTTCAAAACATAAAAGAATCCATTAGATTGCCGTTACGTGTGATCAGATATCATATAAGCGTGAGCACATACGAGGTATAATAATGGGTATACACAAAGCTTTGAAACTCTTATTAGACCATGTCATGTCATTATGATGACCTTTGTTAGGGTTCTATCCTCTCGCATGACCGCAGTATGACGGTACATCTCTTATCTAAACTTGTATAAGCACCGTTTGGAATACTCTAGCTTCTTCCCCAATTAAGTATCTGACTCCTTATTTTAGAAATACAAAGACCTATCAAGTAGTCAAATAGTTGACATTTTAACCATCCATAGTTACTATAGAAAGATAGCGCTCTGAGGCCGGCTTCATTTCAACGTTATAACTAAAAGGTTATAGGAATATATCGCAGCCTCACATACACCAGGAAGCCATCTTTGAATGACCCTAGCAGTTGATAGGACGTAAAACAATATATATCAGACACAAAGCTTTCACCAACCATTCATATATTTGTACTAATCAGTTTACCGTCTTATGCGGCATTCAATATCGATATATCGCTCAGAACATCAAAAACTTAAAATGAAATTTGAAACGCTTTATTAAGTTTTTGAGAGTTCTTCGAATTTTGATTCCAGATTTGGAAGCAGATACAGACATCTAAGAAGCGACGCCATAGCTATGTGTGGAAAAAGGGTCAATTTGATTCCGTGGATCCAACCGAGACAGATTACCTCCTAGGCATGCTTTATTAAAAGATTTGAATATCAGTATTGATTTAAACATATTTTTTGCAAACATATATGAAGCCCTTTTCCAGCTGATATGTGTGGTGTGTGTGTGTGTGTGTGTGTGTGTGAGGGTGTGTGTGTGTGGGGGGGGGGGGGGGGGGGACATGTTTTTATTTAGGTTTATATAAATACGCCACAACACACTGATCAAAGAGGGAGAGATAGGGAATTAAAGTCTATTTGAGTCAAAAATGTTTATCATAACATTATATTTCATGGATAACTCACTGCTTCCGTGTAGTGATAGTAGCAGGTCTAGCGGTATGAAATTATTACGGTACAATTTTATTCTCTGCTCTACATAATAACAGTATATTACAGTGTTATCAGTGGGGTTATAAATAGAAGGAGAATAGTAAAACAACAGATTGTATTAAACAACATCGTCAGCAGCATCAATACCATCACTAACGGCAACATTGGCACGAAAACCTACAGCTCACAATATCAGGACTTTTTTACAACTTGCTGGAATTATATATTGTTTTCCAGGTCTATTTGATGGAAGTCATATACCTTACGAAAACGACCGGGACAAGTCTGGAGACGGAGATCCATCACTCTCAGAAATGACCAGCAAAGCTATCCGTATACTGCAGAAAAACGAAAAAGGTTACTTCTTAATGGTAGAAGGTCAGTGATTTCATTACAATTTGTATGTGAAGAAAAGAACTCGACTGCTGACTCACCCTGTCATTTAATAATTGTCCTGTAAAACAAATGCTATAGAATGTAATGAATTAGTTCGAATGTTCGTGTTTATTTGGATTCGATTCCTTTCGTTGATGAGCCCCGAAACATAATTCTTCACCTTCATTTGTATAGAACGACCAATCCATACAAAAATACACCACAGCCTATTTGTGTTTACAAGAAGAAACACAAGACCCGTGTTGAAATAAACCTTTATAAAACTACATCTGGGGAACGCTTGTAATCCATCAATATCTCGACTGACCCAATCCTTCTTGCACCATGATTAACCTGGAAGTAATGAACTCGGTGATGTGAAAGTCAAACGGCCATGAACACGCAGAGGCCATCAAATGAATTACAAGTATATGTGTTAATACAATATACAGAAAAAGACCTGCAGTTTTTGGAGATTTGTTTTATTCGGCATGACTTGATAAATTCCGAGAACATCCGAGGTTATTCATTTTCACAACTGCAAATGAAAAGTAAATTTTGAATTCATCAACCTTTCGAATAATGCGAACAAGTGATAAATCGTTCAAATTATTGTGCATGCAATTGTGTATCGGATTTCAGACAGTTCTACAAAAATTACACAAGTTTGCTTTATAGTATCGATATAATAATGTAAAGTCTATATATTGTTGTTTTTGTTTTGGAGAATAGTAAAACGTCATCCAGAGAGAAGTTAAAATAGTTCATACAATCCTATCCGAAAGGAAGGTCGCTTTCATTTCTGGTCAATAAGTGTTGCATGGCCACACCTTGATTTTTCTGAAGCTAGCATTTGTGGTGTATGGTATTTAACGTAGCGAAAATAACAAACATTATTTATATAAAATCAGGTGCTCGAATAGACCACGCCCATCATGAAAACATGGCTAAGCGTTCTCTCACAGAGACGTTGATGCTCGAGGAAGCTGTTAATAAGGCTGTTGGTCTAACATCTGATGAAGACACGCTGATCATCGTCACAGCAGATCATTCTCATCCATTCAACATTGCCGGTTATTCTTACAGGGGAAATGACATCCTTGGTGACTATCTTATGTACCTTTCTTTTCATAGTATAAAAGTATATTATTATAAGTAATAATTTTACATCTGTACTAACAGTAGCCTGTATAACAGCAGTATAAGTAGTAATTACACCTCTGTACTAACAGTAACCTGTATAACAGCAGTATAAGTAGTAACTTTACCTCTGTACTAACAGTAACCTGTATAACAGTAGTATAAGTAGTAATTACACCTCTGTACTAACAGTAACCTGTATAACAGTGGTATAAGTAGTAATTACACCTCCGTACTAACAGTAACCTGTATAACAGTAGTATAAGTAGTAACTTTACCTCTGTACTAACAGTAACCTGTATAACAGTAGTATAAGTAGTAATTACACCTCTGTACTAACAGTAACCTGTATAACAGTGGTATAAGTAGTAATTATACATCTGTACTAACAGTAACCTGTATAACAGTAGTATAAGTAGTAATTTTACCTCTGTACTAACAGTAACCTGTATAACAGTAGTATAAGTAGTAATTTTACCTCTGTACTAACAGTAACCTGTATAACAGTGGTATAAGTAGTAATTACACCTCCGTACTAACAGTAACCTGTATAACAGTAGTATAAGTAGTAACTTTACCTCTGTACTAACAGTAACCTGTATAACAGTAGTATAAGTAGTAATTACACCTCCGTACTAACAGTAACCTGTATAACAGTAGTATAAGTAGTAATTACACCTCCGTACTAACAGTAACCTGTATAACAGTGGTATAAGTAGTAATTATACCTCTGTACTAACAGTAACCTGTATAACAGTAGTATAAGTAGTAATTATACCTCTGTACTAACAGTAACCTGTATAACAGTAGTATAAGTAGTAATTTTACATCTGTACTAACAGTAACCTGTATAACAGTGGTATAAGTAGTAATTTTACCTCTGTACTAACAGTAACCTGTATAACAGTGGTATAAGTAGTAATTATACATCTGTACTAAAAGTAACCTGTATAACAGTGGTATAAGTAGTAACTTTACCTCTGTACTAACAGTAACCTGTATAACAGTGGTATAAGTAGTAATTACACCTCTGTACTAACAGTAACCTGTATAACAGTAGTATACGTAGTAACTTTACTTCTGTACTAACAGTAACCTGTATAACAGTGGTATAAGTAGTAATTATACCTCTGTACTAACAGTAACCTGTATAACAGTAGTATAAGTAGTAATTACACCTCTGTACTAACAGTAACCTGTATAACAGTAATACAAGTAGTAATTTTACCTCTTTACTAACAGTAACCTGTATAACAGTAATACAAGTAGTAATTTTACCTCTTTACTAACAGTAACCTGTATTACACTAGTATCAGTAGTAATTATACCTCTGTTCTACCATTACTTGTAGGTATAACCATTCCTTACTGGGATGAGCCTCCCAGGGATTATCTCCCATACACCTCTCTGGTGTATGGTAACGGACCAGGACGACGCCCATATGAAGACCGGACAAACTACACAGGAGTCGACACTAGTAAGTCAGAATATATAATAGCCCTCAATTACAAGATCGGTCCGTGAGGATTTTACATTTCCAAGTCTGGCTCAGCCCAACGTATAATCTACATGTCTTGAAAACAAACTAGGTTTCGAGTATCTTGCGATAAGGGGAAGCAACCTGAATTTGCCTATACTCTGTTATGCTGTACCAATGTCATATTATAATAAATATTCAAACAAATATGTGTTTTCTGAATGTCCTTATAGTCGACTGCAAGTGACCTAACCTGAGAGGATTTCATAAACAATTTAGCAGAGGGACATCTTTCAATTACATCGACTGTTACTATCTCCTTACCAATAGAATTTTGGCCAATAAACCCCAGGCCGACAAACACATTGTGGCGGTGCCAGTTGCAAACAGAGTCACATTATCACATTGGCCGTATGGTAGTTTTAACTAATAGCATGCAGGTATAGTTGTAAACAAGAGTACAGTGTAACTTCATACCTTCAGGCTAATAATAGAAGATTATCAAACACTGTAATATATACTTCTAAACTTCTTCGCCCTCACCATCGTAATTTCTCTTCATGGAAGTCAAGTATTTTGGGATTTTTTTTTTTAACAAAACAAATTTCTTTACAAACTAAATCAGTCAATCATGTTGACCCGCATGTAAGCGTTTGAAGTATATTTCTTTGGGAAGAAACCAAAGGACCCCAATAATAAGCGTATATTATTACGCTTTTTGGGCTGTCTTGGATAGATTTGTTTAACATATATCAGCTGTCTTTATTGTGATTTAATGTTCCGGTGTTGTATGTTTTATTTATGTCAATTTTCCACCTTATGTACTATGTAACATGTATTTTATTTATCATGCTTTGTATACATTTGTGCAAATCTTTCCTGAATAAATTTATTATTATCTATTATTATATTATTAAACCAGAATACCTGGAAAAAACCCAATTGGAAATGGTTGGTCAGGTAACCCCCATACCTATTAGGTGAAAGACATGTAACTGTTTTTTATCTTATAGTAATTTATATTTACCGTGGTACACTAAATATTTTACTATCAAACACACAGAGAGAGAGAGAGAGAGAGAGAGAGAGAGAGAGAGAGAGAGAGAGAGAGAGAGAGAGAGAGAGAGAGAGAGAGAGAGAGAGAGAGAGAGAGAGAGAGAGAGAGAGAGAGAGAGAGAGAGAGAGAGAGAGAGAGAAAATATTATTGACTGTACTTTCGATACATTTCAGCTGCCGACAACTTTCAACAAGAAGCAGCAGTACCGCTTGGCTACGAAACACATTCAGCAGAGGATGTTGGGATATATGCACGAGGTCCTATGGCGCACCTCCTCCATGGTGTCCAAGAACAGCATTATGTGGCGCACGTGATGCAGTACGCCGCGTGTGTCGGTGATTATAAAGACGACTGTGAGCGCCCGTATATAAGCAATTCCAATGAAGGGTCCTTGGTGTCTTTAAATAGTGTGTTGTTAATTGTATTATGTATAATTAAACTCATCGCTGTGTAAATGATGCATGTTTTGTTTTATGCACGTGTTCGTTTTCGTTTTTCCAGTGTATTAAGCACTATTGTTTCCTTGTGTCAAGAAAGATAAATAAATAATATAATTCTTTACAATGAACAACTTTGTTCTTCATTCATTTAGTTAGTCTTGTCTATAATGTCCTGTGTCGGCCCAGATTATACTAACATTCTCCCAAACAACACAAAGCTGAAGAACTAGACTAACCCGTGAGTTGTGACATCTGAGACTCTTCCATCATCTAAACTCATTTGTAACATTAATTTCTTCAATGTTTAAGAACGATTAATACAAGTTAATACACATTATAATATACTCTTAACACAGCCACCTTCCCTCCATGGAGACACCTCCATTCATATACCTACAACTGAATCACAAATTCTTGGTGAATTTGAAATTTGACGAATTGGCAAATGGCTGGAGATGTTTATCAACATTTCGTTCAGTATTGAATTTTATAGTTTAAACTTAGTCAAGTTTTTATCCCATTCAACTACATGTTTATGAATTCATACAGAAGAGGCTGCCTCTCTTGGAGATATCACCGACGACGTGTACAATGCAGAAGTCATACCTAATCTAGAGGGGTATATTCGGCAATTATGTAAATTAGCTGTAGGACTTTGATTTATTAGTAAACACACTTCAACGTTATATTAAACAGTGATATTAACAGTAAGTATGTGTAGATCCACATGTCTCGGGATTATTATCAAATCCTGTAGAATAACTACCGAGGTTTGCATGATGTTTGACATTAGTTTCCGTTTATAATAGTGGTGATATTGGGATAATAGTGGTGATATTGGGATAATAGTGTGTGGTGATATTGGGATAATAGTGGTGATATTGGGATAATAGTGGTGATATTGGGATAATAGTGGTGATATTGGGATAATAGTGGTGATATTGGGATAAGACCGAAAATTACTGGTGAAAAAAGTGCGATTACTTCGATATCGTGTATTGGTATTGCTTATTTTCTTGCGAATACTGGCAGACTCTTCACTTACAGATGATGATGGGGTTTCAGTGGTGGCTATGTGGCCATGCTGTGTAAATAGACTTTTAATACTTAGAAAGCTAAATACATCATAGATATCAAGCATGGTACTTCTAGCCTTCTTGTCAGCTGCTATTTGCAACAACGAGGACTCTACGACAAAGAAATCTGTATTGTCGTTCAAATGTTTGAATTATATCTGTTCGTCGTGTTATTTTTTTTAAAAAAATCAGACGTTGTTGTCCAGATGTCTGAATCCTATCTGTCTTCGTGATATGTAAACATGTATCTGTTGATTGAATGTTTGAATTTTATCTGGTCATGGTGCTATGCAAACATTCATTTTTGGTTATCTAAATGTTTGAATTACATATGTTCATCGTGTTATGTCTAAAACATTCACATGTTCTTATTTAAATATTTGTAAATATATGGTTGTCGTGTTAGCATGTATCTGTTGATTGAATGTTTGAATTTTATCTGGTCATGGTGTAATGCAAACATTCATTTTTGGTTATTTAAATGTTTGAATACTATCTGTTCGCCGTGTTATGTAAACATCCACATGTTCATTCACGTAATGTTGTTAAGATGTTTGAATTATATCTGTTCGACGTGTTTTGTAAACATCCACGGGTTGTTGTTTAAATGTTTGAATTATGTCTGTTTGTCGTGTTTTGTAAACATTCACGCAATGGTGTTTAAATGTTTGAATTGAATTGATGGTAAACAAATACAAAGTGTTACGTACGTACAGGGGTACACCTGGACAAACACATGTGTAGGCGAGTTCGTCCATGCATATCTTCACCTGAGACACTTTAAGGTGTGCGTTTAAACGACATGGTTAAACGTCGGGACTGGCTGTAGCGTGTACAGTGTGCAAAGAGACGGTGAAGATGACACGGATTAAATATCTCCTGCTGTTGATTGTGGCTTTCTCACACGGAGTTCCAATTAGTGAGTGTTTCTCTATTTATAATTATACATCACGTTTTGTTATACTAATCGTAAACCTGGTCTGTCATTATTTTCAAAACAAATTCTCAATGATTCGTATTTGTATGGGGAACTTTGCAACACGTCTCGATTTGCGAGGTTGAATAGAATGTTACTAGAAAACAACTTTATAAACTAAATAAAAGGTTCTAGACGATTTTGGAAACACGTTTTATTTATTTGTTCATTTTATTCAAATTCTTTTCACTTTCTATTCCATTGATGGGTCGTAATTTTCTAATGCTAAGCACTTGTTTAACTTGACTGAAATGAGAAAAGCTTTGAAGCAAAACAAGATATCAGAAACATGTTGAGATTCAAATTATTAATTCTTTTGGCTTTTCGGCCAATCAGTTCTTTTTAAACAACATAAATTATAGCCATCAATGATACATATTGTGGAGAGTGATACACCCTAAAGTATCAAAACATTTCATGAATTACACATCAGATACAATGAAGTAGTCAGTAAATATGTCAGCATTGACTCATTACACGTACAAATGTATACCTGTAAATATATTGTAGGCAACAAACATGGTAGCAAGAATGAACTTAGAAATCATTGATGTAGAAAGTATGGTCAAACAAACTCTAAACAATTATACATATATATATGTAGTGTGTATATATTTAGTTGATTAAATCATCATCCCGTCGTTTATTAGCCAAAAGTAGATATTTTCCCAAACTGTTAAATTATGATACATTAGCAGAACATAGTAGTAGTAAGAGTCTGTATACACTTGGCCTCCTTCTGTAATTGGGTTGAATTATTTTTGTCAAATATCTAAACAATGCGCACAGATAATTATATGTGAAAATAATCATGGTAACACATTGCTTTAATGTGTACCTTCTCTGTCACACAAGCTTGATGAAACATCAAACAGACTTTTTTATTTGTTTGTATTTTTATTTATTTAACGGTACATAAATACATATTTTACATTTGAAGATAATCTGGTTTATATGCATCGCTGTCTATAAAGTTTAACCGTGTTTTTTTTCCTTTCTCTATTACCTTCAGACTGTAGTAATGTCAGACTAATGTAGGTTTTTATTGTGCATTTTCCCGATAAAGACTCGCTGACGAAAGTTATTTCATACAACACGTATGTGATTGACCTATTTACATTTTGAATGCTCTGAGGCTTTTTTGAATAATATTTATCCCATTATACTTGCATATGGAATCGACAAACCTAAGCATTATATTGCCAGCGGATTTTGTTTTAAAAACATGATAACATGTCGAATTTATATCAGATGTAGAAATATATGTTTGATTAAAATGATAGCTTATACGATGTAAGCTAAAATCTTCCGGGTTAGATCTAACCACGGGTGCCATTATTATATAATTGAAAGGTAATGAATTAACTTAATAAGCCGAGGGCTACACCACGGCAAAAAACAGTTCCTGTCGGGACAAAATTCAAAAGATATACAAGATGTACTCCTTCGGGGGCATTTGCAACCTTGTAAGTGTTTGTAGACCGCACCACGTGAAGAAGTTCAGTCATGGGTAGTAGCCACTGGTCAAGGTGTGGTTATAGAAATATGAATACAGTCTTAAATAGATACTCTTTGTGAGATGAATATATTTCCATTTTTTAATTTTGTTAGATTTACAGAGAACATAGTGTCAGTATCTGAAGCTATTTTCAATAGCGTAGGTGAGAAAACAATGTAAGGCGAAACAATGTTTAGAATTATTCATCATCAAATACTTAATTATTCATATAAATGTCCCGAATGATTAAGGCCCGTGCTGTATTTGTTGCTATTTGTTATACAAATATGGCCGTAGTATTAGTGGACGGGACAGTCATCAACTACATTTTAACAACTGAAAACTGGGACGTCCAACCGACGGACCAGAACCGGAAAAACGGACATTTTCAGCTGAGTGAATTTAACAAAAGAATTTTGAATTTTTCAAAAAGACATATTTCAACAACAGTGTATGGGCTTAATTCATTCCTTGATACGCAAAACAATCAAACAAACATTAGTATACAAATAAATATATACTTATTTATGTAACTACAGATACAATACGCATGAATGAATCACGGAAGAAAAACAGAAACGTTAAGTGAAACCACTTAAATAATTATGGATATATGGATTTGCGTGTGTATTATATTGTTCAAAGGTTGTCTTACATTGTTGAGGGATGTCTCACATTGTATGGGATGTATTACATTGTATGGGATGTCTTACATTGTTAAGGAATGTCTTACATTGTTAAGGAATGTCTTACATTGTTAAGGTATGTACTACATTGTTAAGGGATGTCTTACATTGTTAAGGTATGTCTTACATTGTATGGGATGTCTTACATTGTTAAGGGATGTCTTACATTGTTAAGGTATGTCTTACATTGTATGGGATGTCTTACATTGTTAAGGAATGTCTTACATTATATGGTATGTACTACATTGTTAAGTGATGTCTTACATTGTTAAGGGATGTCTTACATTGTTAAGGGATGTCTTACATTGTTAAGGGATGTCTTACATTGTTAAGGTATGTCTTACATTGTATGGGATGTCTTACATTGTTAAGGAATGTCTTACATTGTTAAGGAATGTCTTACATTGTTAAGGAATGTCTTACATTGTTAAGGTATTATGTGTTAAATTTTTATGGGATGTCTTAAGGGGATGTCTTACATTGTTAAGGGATGTCTTACATTGTTAAGGTTGATGTAAACATTGTTAAGGTATGCATGTTAAGAACATTGTTAAGGTACCACACATCCACAATGTCTTTGTTGAAATCAATTGTTAATGTCTTACATTATTAATACATTGTTAAGGTATGTCTTACATTGTTAAGGTATGTACTACATTGTTAAGGGATGTCTTACATTGTTAAGGTATGTACTACATTGTTAAGGGATGTCTTACATTGTTAAGGGATGTCTTACATTGTTATTGTCTTACATCATGATGTCACATTGTTAAGAGGATATGTTAAGCAGAATCATGTCTTACATTGTTAAGGGATGTCTACATTGTTAAGGAATGTCTTACATTGTTAAGGTCATGATTCATTGTTAAGGGATGTCTTAGGAATGTCTTACATTGTTAAGGGATGTCTTACATTGTTGGGATGATTCATTGTTAAGGAGGTCTTACATTGTTAAGGAATGTCTTACATTGATTCAGAAGAGGTCTACATTGTTAGGAATGTCACATTGTTAAGGTATGTCTTCATTGTTAAGGGATGTCTTACATTGTTAAGGAAAGTCAGACATTGATTAAGGAGATGTCTTACATTGTTAAAGCAGAATCATGATTCAGAAGAGGATACGAGGAAAGCAGAATCATGATTCAGAAGAGGATATGAGGAAAGCAGAATCATGATTCAGAAGAGGGTTTGAGACGTTTTCTACACCGATGATTTCGCCATGTAAATAAAGGTTCATCCGAGTCACATTCTCCGGAACTATGAACTGTATAGATACAAACAAGCTAACATTCACATACTGCATACGAAAAAGAAAACAGAGTACATTATAACCGACATCACTGTTCTATATATAGGTTATATAACTTTCATAGCTTTCACAACGCCTTTAAACTTGGGCAATGCATCAAAACCGACGGCAATGCATCATGGCTGTTCGGGTGGCGCAGTGGTAACGCACTCGCCTTTCACCTAGGCGTCCGGGGTTCGATTTCCGGCACCGTCGTGAAAAGCTAAGAGGTCACCTGCCCGACAACGTGGGTTTTCCCCCAGGTGCTACGATTTCCTCCCACAATAACACTCCTCGCGCGCTTACATCCGGGCCAAAAAGAGTGATTTGTATAGGCTGTAATAACTTGTTTCGCAATTGTTGTAAATAAATAAAGTTTATTTATATTACAAGGTCAACAGTCATTAGGTTGTATCTAGCTTTGTTTGCTCATATGCGTCAATTACACACATTTTGCATCCTGGCAACGCTGTTCAAATGACATTGAACATTACAACGCGCCACGAATGGTATATAGGATTACTGAACAATGTAGTTCACGCAAGATTTCAAAAGTATAATTCACCATTTAAAACATCTGCATACCTTACAACACCTGTAACTTATTTTAGCATTACAGAATAAAAATGCATTGACGTCTGGCGTCACGACTGATCAGCGACCTGATTAATTATGAAGTTCAAACTAACTGGGACTGTAAACGACTGTAAACAAAAATGCTGAACCAATTATCCAAATAAACACTCTTGTTGGCCCGGTGGAAGCACGTGATGGATCTCAGCACTAGTGCACTATCATATTATGCGATTGTGTTGTATATGGAATGTCAACTGTCGATGTGTCTTGTAACGCAGGGAATAGAATAGCATAAATCTGATCTTACTGTGTGAGGAAACCAGACTATTCCAGGTAAATTATGTAGTCGGGAAGGTGACAGCTTACGTTTCAAGTCTGCTCCGGCTAGCGCCACCCGACCACCCAACTGCATATCTACCTTCATGAAATTATTATTTTTTTTGTCATTTTTTTTTAGATATTGTATTCCCAAAGGTGAAAACCTTAATTCTGGTATCAACCGACACCTCTGATCAACCGAGAACTCATTTTGTATATTGCATGGTGTTCAGTCGATAAACATACTAAAGTACTTTTCCATTATAAAAACGGTTGATTTTGATTTAATAGCGCATTCAACCATTAATCTAGTATTGAACAATGATATTCTATTTAAAGAAAATGTTAAAGAAAAGAATCACTATCAGAATGACTATTTCTATGACTATTAATTATAAATATATCTATATTTCAGCAGGTAGCACAGATTGGAATCAAATGGCAAAGGACAGTCTTGATGAATCTCTGAAATTAGAACAAATAAATAAAGTTGCAAAGAACGTGATACTGTTTATCGGGGATGGACTCGGAATTTCGACCATAACGGCATCAAGAATACTTAAAGGACAAAAGATGGGCAATCCTGGGGAAGAAACAGTCTTGGAGTTCGAAAAATTCCCAAATGTAGCCTTGTCAAAGGTAACATCATTTTACACCGAACCCTATAGCGCACAGTTATTTACTAAAACGTCTATAAAGTACAGCCAATGCAATTGTACAATCACTTCGACTTTACTGTACTGGCTTTCATTCAAATTACTTCCGGACTGATTATTGCTGTCTGTATTGAAGGACAGTATAATCAAAACTGTTCTGTATATTATCAATATCACGTGTACCCCAGTGTATAGAAGGCAGCGCGTGGATAACATCTGAAATATTGAAATATATCCTGAAATATATGACTGAAGCATTATTTTACTTAGTGAATTGTTCAAAATGAAGGGAAATAACTAGATGATAAGAGGTCATTAAATCATAATGGAAATGGAAATGTTGCCTGTAAGATATGTTCAATATTCCATGATTATACTGACTTACAATGATATCTTTTGGATTTTGTTACAAAGAAACCCATCATGGACAGCTTTCCACCAATTAAAATCAACTCACGGACAAGCTCGTCACACATGGTTTGAAAAGATGCAGGTTGATGAAAATCATTGGGAAGTAGTTTTAGGATCGTCATTGTGATCTCATTGAAAAGTATTCCGTTTCTTTGTGCAATGTGAAGCTGGGCGTGTTTGATGCTCGTTAGTTTGCCTGTTTGCTCCGATGTTCTATACTTTGTTTTCATTTGAGAACGTGACATTACTATTATTGAATTCACCAGGATTTACATGGCGATGAAGCAGAAGACTTCCGTAACAACTGCTCTAATTCTCCTTGTACTTTTTCAGAAGTGTCCGCAGAAGTCCGTCTCTTGTTCATATTTTGCCCTTGTTTCATTGAATTTGTGTTTGGAATATGTTGACATGTGTATTATCTTGATATATATAACAATTTGATAGTAATATCTGTGGATATTTCCTATGTAGTAAATACACAAGAGATAATTAATATTAATTTAATTATTTCAACAGTTACAACTATGTAATATCCACAGACAGTGTATAACGATAACTTTCGTTATCTGAATAAGAAAACTGGCTGATTTTCTGTGTTTGTCAGGTCTATGGATCCGATAAGATGGTGCCCGACTCCGCCGCTACAGCCAGCGCCCTGATGTGTGGGGAGAAGACCAACTGGTACCTTGTTGGTACCCGAGACCCGGTGGCCATCTCCGACTGTGTTGCCTCTAAAGCTGAAAATATGAAAATGACGTGTATCCTTGACCATTTTCAAGCTGAAGGTAACTAATTAGATCGTAGTATGATAGCTATTTATCATATAACTACCCAAGTATCAGTATACTATAGAGCCCATGCTTTTGCTATAGTTCACGTTTACTACCGATGAAGGGAAGGTGTGAACGTTTCAAGTACTGTAGTACTGAACAAAGTATTGATAGTATTGTACTGAAGTACTTCACCAATCGAATTCCTTAAATTTATGCAACAAGCTCTCTGATTGGCAGAGCCAAGTCTAGATCGATTGTGGGTGGAGCCAGGTGAAAAAATACTGTGCAGACATCGGCATTTTACAAACACTCGACTGTCGCGAGAGGTTAATTGGAAGAGTCCAAGTCACAGGTGGCTTCAGATCAGACCTAATTGGGTTGTCCCATTTTTTTCGTTCTACACCCAATGATACCTTGCTTTTCCATCGATGGTACAACGAGAAAACGAAAGTTTCTCAGTACTAAACTAATTTACGTACAAAATATATATCAACAGGTTAGATCACTGGTACCGGAGAATTCATAACATCTTAACAGTGAATATAGTCATATAGTCATTCTGTACTAGTTTTATTTATATATTTATTTTTTGAAAGGGGGGGGGGGGAGGTTGGCTCAAAATATTTCGGTTTAAGCCCAAGCTCTATTATATGTAACAAAGAATTACGAATTACCTGGGACCTCCTGATATATGCCGATAATTCATACTGCATTAAAAAATAAAGGAATTCTGTGGTCCCATATATTTTTTATTTTATTTTTTATCTTTCCATCGAAAATTATACATATCCGCAACATGTGAAAAAACTTTGAAGTTGGTTGGGCGGAATATCTAGAGCATTTACTACTGCAAGTTCCAGAAATTCTGACACAAGTCGGGTATTGCCCGAAGCCTCTGTCTCATGACATTGAATACATATTCAGTTACGTTGTATTCCGGGGAATAAGGCGGCTGAAAAACCAGGGACACGCCATATTCTTTCAGCATATTTCTTAAAATGCGCTCTCCCTGTCTATGGTGATGGAATCCACAATTATCCATCACAACCACATCGCCTTGTACAAAAACAGGATTCCCCATACCGTTCGTATCGGACATAATTTCGTCGAAGAAAATTTTGCGTACTGTTGCCGTCGTCGGACATTTTTCCAGCGATTACTTAGTAATTGTTATGTAACTGATAGTGTACAATAACTCCGCCTACCGGAACAAATTGGGTGTCAGATCAACTATTCAGGTTGTCTAAACTCCGCCCCCGACCAATCACAGAGGTCGTTGTATACTTGACTCGATTATTTGAATACTTCAATACAATAGTATCAATACTTTGTTCAATACTATAGTAAGTGTGTCGTTCACACCTTCCCTTCATCGGTAGTAATACAAACAAGATTAACTGTGATTGGCTGATGGCTTCCATTGCTTCCATTGTGACGTCATAACTACATGCCGTCGTAAACTTTTTATAAAATTCTATTTTCACGAACGTTTCTAAAGTAGCATAATAAACAGAATCTTTGTTTCCATTTCACATGAAATTCATGAAATGAGTCTAAATTTTTTTTTACTTAACTGAACATATAATTATCTCATAAGTACATGTAGCTTGTCATCAGTGTAGACCTAGTTAAAGGTTTGTCTGGTTTCAGTTGTCATGGCGACACGTGCGTCACTAAAGAAAGATTTATAGCAGGATTTTTTTTATCATTTTAATAAAAATAACTTATTTAACGAATGCTTGCAAATATATTTAAAAAGAAAAAAAACATAATCTTGATATGTTTCCACTAAATCTGGTACAATTGTTCCTACCTGTACTTTTTTTCAACTCATGCGGACTTTACATCTAAACACTACGTGTATGACAAACACGTGGGCATGTTTTAATTACGTTACTTTATAATATCGCGGTTAAATCCCCACAATAAGTTTAACTTCCGAATTGAAACACAAGAAATAATAAGTTTATTATTTAACCGCCTGTGACGGAAATATGATACATATTGCACCACAATCACCACGAAGTTGGTATGTTAAAGGAATTAAAAGTATTATATATATATATATATATATATATATATATATATATATATACTGGAAGTCAATATCAGTGTCTTTCTACTCTGTTCTGAACTAGTAACTTAAATCCAGTAGATGATAAGATAAATATGTTATTTATTCTCATTATTTATAATCATTTATTATTATATATGAGAATTCTAACCTCCAACAGTATAAAACAACAGGAATCAGGTCAGAATTCTAACCTCCAACAGTAAAAAACGATAGGAATCAGGTCAGAATTCTAACCTCCAACAGTAAAAAACGATAGGAATCAGGTCAGAATTCTAACCTCCAGCAGTATAAAACAATAGGAATCAGGTCAGAATTCAAACCTCAACCAGCATAAAACAACAGGAATCAGGTCAGAATTCTTACCTCCAACAGTATAAAACAACAGGAATCAGGTCAGAATTCTAACCTCCAACAGTATAAAACAACAGGAATCAGGTCAGAATTCTAACCTCCAGCAGTATAAAACAATAGGAATCAGGTCAGAATTCTAACCTCCAGCAGTATAAAACAACAGGAATCAAGTCAGAATTCAAACCTCCAACAGTATAAAACAACAGGAATCAGGTCAGAATTCTTACCTCCAGCAGTATAAAACAATAGGAATCAGGTCAGAATTCTAACCTCCAACAGTATAAAACAACAGGAATCAGGTCAGAATTCTAACCTCCAACAGTATAAAACAACAGGAATCAGGTCAGAATTTTAACCTCCAACAGTATAAAACAACAGGAATCAGTATAAAACAACAGGAATCAGAATTCTAACAGGAATCAGGTCAGAATTTTAACTCCAACAGTATAAAACAACAGGAATCAGGTCAGAATTCTAACCTCCAACAGTATAAAACAACAGGAATCAGGTCAGAATTCTAACTTCCAACAGTATAAAACAACAGGAATCAGGTCAGAATTCTAACAGTATAAAACTCCAACAGTATAAAACAACAGGAATCAGGTCAGAATTCTAACCTCCAACAGTATAAAACAACAGGAATCAGGTCAGAATTCTTACCTCCAACAGTATAAAACAATAGGAATCAGGTCAGAATTCTAACCTCCAACAGTATAAAACAACAGGAATCAGGTCAGAATTCTAACCTCCAACAGTAAAAAACGAAAGGAATCAGGTCAAAATTCTAACCTCCAGCAGTATAAAACAACAGGAATCAGGTCAGAATTCTAACCTCCAACAGTATAAAACAACAGGAATCAGGTCAGAATTCTAACCTCCAACAGTATAAAACAACAGGAATCAGGTCAGAATTCAACCTCCAGCAGTATAAAACAACAGGAATCAGGTCAGAATTCTAACCTCCAACAGTATAAAACAACAGGAATCAGGTCAGAATTCTAACCTCCAACAGTATAAAACAACAGGAATCAGGTCAGAATTCTAACCTCCAACAGTATAAAACAACAGGAATCAGGTCAGAATTCTAACCTCCAACAGTATAAAACAACAGGAATCAGGTCAGAATTCTAACCTCCAACAGTATAAAACAACAGGAATCAGGTCAGAATTCTAACCTCCAACAGTATAAAACAACAGGAATCAGGTCAGAATTCTAACCTCCAACAGTATAAAACAACAGGAATCAGGTCAGAATTCTAACCTCCAACAGTAAAAAACAACAGGAATCAGGTCAGAACAACCTCCAACAGTATAAAACAACAGGAATCAGGTCAGAATTCTAACCTCCAACAGTATAAAACAACAGGAATCAGGTCAGAATTCCTCCACAACAGGAATCAGGTCAGAATTCAACAGTATAAAACAACAGGAATCAGGAATTCTAACCTCCAGCAGTATAAAACAATAGGAATTCAGAATTCTAACCTCCAACAGTATAAAACAAATAGGAATCAATAGGAATCAGAATTCTAACCTCCAACAGTATATAAAAAAACAACAGGAATCAGGTCAGAATTCTAACCTCCAACAGTATAAAACAACAGGAATCAGGTCAGAATTCTAACCTCCAACAGTATAAAACAACAGGAATCAGGTCAGAATTCTAACCTCCAACAGTATAAAACAACAGGAATCAGGTCAGAATTCTAACCTCCAACAGTATAAAACAACAGGAATCAGGTCAGAATTCTAACCTCCAACAGTATAAAACAACAGGAATCAGGTCAGAATTCTAACCTCCAACAGTATAAAACAACAGGAATCAGGTCAGAATTCTAACCTCCAACAGTATAAAACAACAGGAATCAGGTCAGAATTCTAACCTCCAACAGTATAAAACAATAGGAATCAGGTCAGAATTCTAACCTCCAACAGTAAAAAACGATAGGAATCAGGTCAGAATTCTAACCTCCAACAGTATAAAACAACAGGAATCAGGTCAGAATTCTAACCTCCAACTAACCTCCAACAGTATAAAACAACAGGAATCAGGTCAGAATTCTAACCTCCAGCAGTATAAAACAATAGGAATCAGGTCAGAATTCAAACCTCAACCAGCATAAAACAACAGGAATCAGGTCAGAATTCTAACCTCCAGCAGTATAAAACAATAGGAATCAGATCAGAATTCTAACCTCCAACAGTATAAAACAACAGGAATCAGGTCAGAATTCTAACCTCCAGCAGTATAAAACAATAGGAATCAGGTCAGAATTCAAACCTCCAATCCAGCAGTATAAAACAACAGGAATCAGGTCACTAACCTCCAACAGTATAAAACAACAGGAATCAGGTCAGAATATCCAAACAACAGGAATCAGGTCAGAACAGTTCTAACCTCCAACAGTATAAAACAACAGGAATAGGTCAGAATTCTATCCAACAGTATAAAACAACAGGAATCAGGTCAGAATTCTAAAGAATTCTAACCTCCAACAGTATAAAACAACAGGAATCAGGTCAGAATTCTAACCTCCAACAGTATAAAACAACAGGAATCAGGAATCTAACCTCCAACAGTATAAAACAACAGGAATCAGAAATTCTAACCTCCAACAGTATAAAACAACAGGAATCAGGTCAGAATTCTAACCTCCAACAGTATAAAACAATAGGAATCAGGTCAGAATTCTAACCTCCAACAGTATAAAACAACAGGAATCAGGTCAGAATTCTAACCTCCAGCAGTATAAAACAACAGGAATCAGGTCAGAATTCTAACCTCCAACAGTAAAAAACAACAGGTCAGAATTCTAACCTCCAACAGTAAAAAACAACAGGAATCAGGTCAGAATTCTAACCTCCAGCAGTATAAAACAACAGGAATCAGGTCAGAATTCTAACCTCCAACAGTATAAAACAACAGGAATCAGGTCAGAATTCTAACCTCCAACAGTATAAAACAACAGGAATCAGGTCAGAATTCTAACCTCCAGCAGTATAAAACAACAGGAATCAGGTCAGAATTCTAACCTCCAACAGTAAAAAACGATAGGAATCAGGTCAGAATTCTAACCTCCAACAGTAAAAAACGGTAGGAATCAGGTCAGAATTCTAACCTCCAGCAGTATAAAACAACAGGAATCAGGTCAGAATTCTAACCTCCAACAGTATAAAACAACAGGAATCAGGTCAGAATTCTTACCTCAAATAGTATAAAAAAAATCGGGGCAGGGGAACTTAATATTTCATATAATGAGCTAACCAGGATCAGTCTGTTCTCTCTTGTATGTCTTCTATCTATTGAGCTAGGGCATATTTCTCTCCAGATTTTGACATTCATATCGACTTACTTTGAGTTTCCTAAACCGCCTCTTAGGCATCAATGCTAAATGCCCAAACATCACTGACAAGTTCTAGAACGACGAAACAGTTGTATGGTGCAGTTTATTTCATTTTCAACTCTACTCTATTTAATCTTTTAATCTTTTTTTTCTTTTTTCTTTTTTGTTTTTTTGAAAAGTTGTAGTATATTGTGTCCGTAACATTATAGAAGAAATCTGTTTATAAAATCTTTATGAATAAAATTGGAAAATTTTGTCAAAAGCACCTTCCGTTGAAAAGTGCAATTGATTTATAACAGATGAAACAATTACAAAATGTATGTAATTTGAATTATCTTTCTCCTCCTTGCTGTATTCTCGTGTCATTACCTGGGTATGTTAATTTGTGCATATGTATGATAAAAAGAATATAAAATGAAAACTTTAAGTTTTGATTTTGATATGCCGTTACAGGTCGGTCTACAGGCGTAGTAACGACTGCACGTGTTACACATGCCACACCCGCGTCAGCGTATGCTCACACGCCAAACAGAGACTGGGAGGGGGACTACCAAACTGCTGGTATTCCTGGAGACTGCAAGGATATCGCCTATCAGCTGATATATGACAACAGCGACATCAATGTATGACACACAATCAATTAATCAATCAAATTTTGGTAACAGTCTTTTTTTAGTAATGATAAAAGGATAAAGCACACCAATTTTACGTTACAATAAAAACAGAAATTTCTTCAAGTATTTCACATCAGAATACGTACATGTAAAAGTATCTTTTACGTACACTGAACCTCATTCGCATGTCCACTCAACAACAGGAGTTTCTGGACTAACAGGTCATCACATCTCACGTGCAATTTATACTCTGTATGATTTCATTTATAAGTTGACGTCAGACGCCATACAAGTGTATAAAAAACTGTATTATTTAATGTTCAATGCCTTACAAGCTCCTTACAGAGGACTTGAGATATAAATTTTAGTATTTATGAGTAGGTTGTACTGGGTGGCGGAAGGCGGTCGTTCCTACCTAACAGCACGGTCGACCCAGAGACCAACACCGTCGACAAGCGACAGCGTCGGGATGGACACGATCTTATACAGGTTAGTTTAGGATACCATATATACGTTGAGAGACAGAGGATATAACAAATCATGATTTATAGTAAATAACAACGAATTATCACTTATTAAAGACAGAGACACATTATCATTTAAAGAAGACAGTAAGACAATTCTTTATTTATAGAAGACAGTAGGACAATTAATTAATATTTATTGAAGACAATAAGACAGTTTGTTATTATTTATAGAAGACAGTAAGATAAATAAGTATCATTTATAGAAGACAGTAAGATAAATAATTATCATTTATAGAAGACAGTAAGATAAATAATTATCATTTATAGAAGACAGTAAGACAATTAATCATCATTTATTGAAAACATTATAACAATTTATACCTATTGAAGACTTGGGAAAATAGTTTTCGTTAAAGCGTTCAAGTTTAGAGATTTGCGGTAGATCATTATAAACTTTGCGATATTTTGGATCGTACAATCTGTTTCCATTCCATGTAGATCTTACTCAAGAAGAACAGTCAGTTTTATATCAGTCCCTGTGAGGCATCACCCAGTTAGTTATGTAACATACTCGTATAGTGTTAAAATCAGACTTGTGTCATGTACGAACATATCTAATGTAAAAAAAAAACAATAATTGATTCCGTTATAAGACCTCCATACAATCCTTTCTCCTTTATTCTCGACTTCATATTTTCAATGTTCAACATCTATGTCATTAAGATACAACATAAGTAATTTAAAGATACAAATCAAAATGCCACCTGTAAAACGTGAATTTTTTTCGCATGCATTTCTTAGGAATAACTGAGTGTTATTTGCATGATTCTTGTATTTGTATTCAGATATGGAAAGATATTCAGACCACAAAAGGCCGCTCGCATGAGTATGTATGGAACAAAGGACAGTTCGATAACATCAACCCCGCAAACACGGACTACCTTCTAGGTAAGTTATGCATGTCAACACCAGGTTCATCATGCAGGTTAAATAGATACACTATTGGAAATAGAAATTGTGTGTTAGATATGGAGACTTTTCCTCAGATGATTACCAGATACTTACATTATGATCAATGATTTTATCTTGCTTTCGCTTGGTCCTTTTTAATGTCCCTTTCGTTTTTGATTTTTGGACCGATTAGAAAAACGAAATGTCGTAAGGCGGACAGCTTGAATTACACAACAAAATGGTACTTTTATTTCTTGAGAATAACTGGATTGATTTATCCCAGATTCCATGTGTATGGTCCATTGGCCAATACAGTATCAGTTTTTAAGGCTGATCAGAAAAACAACCTGGCTGGCAGGTGTCCATGTTACAATTTTAAAATTAACTTTATTATCACTCTTTCTTGAGAGGACGTAAGTCAACATGTAGATGCCATTGACTCATTGGTTGAAGATTCCCCTCTGTCTGTAGCTGCACTTTGTCCATTTTGGAACTGTTCATAAAAATAAAAACTGTTGACCATCTTGGATCTGACAGCGACAGATTACAACCGCTCTTTTCTAAATTGTATTTAAATTAATATGATTAAGAGGAAAAAGGCAAAGAAGAAAAAGTAAGGGAAAGAACTTATAGAGAGGAAATAAAGGTCATGCAATTATGGGTGCCAAGATCCCTGTTGGATCTCTCGTAATTACAATTCAACGATTTTTTTTATTCATATGTACATGAAAAAGATGTTTCATATGACACGACCGTTTTACATTTTAGGGTTGTTTGGACCGAGCCACATGCAATATTCACTCGATCGTGATTCGTCATCAGCCGGTGAACCAACACTTGCCGAGCTTACAGAGAAAGCTATCAACATACTCAAAAAGAACGATAAGGGTTATTTCATGATGGTGGAAGGTATGCACCCATTACATTTTTCATTTAAAAATACGATTATTATTACCAGCCATTTGAAGGTTACCTGAAATTTCCCTGATGTTTCCCCTGATATGGATTATAATGATTGCCTGCTTTTAACGGGCATAGACTTCGCCTACTAGATTTCAAATACGTAGGCCATTGACATTACTGAAGGATGAAACTGCTGTGTGATGTAGTGTAATTACTTTATCGACTCTCTGTGTCTGATTACATATTTTGTATTAAAGGGTGCTATTCAAATGTGTTACTTAAGAAATAAGTGAAAAATTAACTAAATCGGAAGTTTCGCTTATATGTTTGTAAAATAATATATAGATGATATTGAAAGTAACACGAATCGTTGTTTTATGTAAAAGATCGTGGCATGAGTTGATCGAAACAAACATTATTTGTTAAAACAGGTGCGCGTATAGACCACGCCCATCATGATTCCTTGGCTAAACACGCCCTAGAGGAGACGTTGGCCTTAGAAGCGGCAGTCAAAAAAGCAGTCGATATGACGTCAATACAAGACACTCTCATCATCTTCACTTCCGACCACTCCCATGTGTTCAACATCGGGGGCTACACACAGAGGGGAAATCCTATCTTCGGTAAGCTTCTCTCTGCTGGGATTATGCTAATTTACTTTACTGTACACCAACTTTCGTTCGTGTGCGATTTACGTTCGAAAATTTCGAAACAAATTCGCGAAATTAATCATCTCAACGACTTTTTAAATGTAGCGCTTAGCTAGACTTGTCACAAATATTTTCCGAAATCCTTCAGGTTCACTTTCTGGTATAATAACAAGAAATGTATTGACAATGTCCTTCGTATATACGCACATGATGCTTAATAGTATACCTGCTGTTCCCGTTGTTGTTTACCGTATTCTTATTTGGGAATGTGACATTACATACTTGGATTGACCAGGATTTATATAACGGGTATCGCCGACGAAGCAGAGACGCTTCCTCTTGCGGAGCACCTTATCTCTTTTTTCAGTGGTTTCCGTGAAAAAACTTTCCTCTTTTCTTACTCTGTTCAAATTTGATTGAATTTCACTTTTGATTATGACCCTTTTGACTTGTTTATTTCTTGTTTCAGAGAAATTTCGTATTTTTTTATAAAGTTTATACTCTGGTCTCATATTCGATAGTAGTCTGCTATTGAGACCAGAGGAATTTTGGTTATGTTTAGATTTCCGACAGATAGGGCACTCGTTTTCGAGTTAACAGATTTTTTAAGGAGTGGACGAAAAGATGACTCCATTTAGGACTGGAATCACTTTTCTTGGGCTTCGCACAAGGGTTGGCCTTATCAACAGAGGACATTTCTTATAACTCACAATAAGTGATTGGGTGTCAAAATACAACAATTGATAAACGTTGACCTCAGGATCATGTCTTAAATCAGATACAGTGATGCGTCTTTCCAGAAGCGTGTAAAAAGTCCTTTTCTTTCGGTGTAATGTTTAGTAAGTTGATGCTTTATTCCTAAGGTATTGCGGAGCCGCAATCTGACGAACCACCTCTTGACGGTCTCCCGTATACCGTGTTAGGCTATGGTAACGGGCCTAATCGGGTACTGAATGGAACGAGGGTCAACCTCACCAACGTCAACACAGGTAAGTTTTTCTTCTTCATTTCTATTTTTGATCACTTCGTTTATAAAGAACACTTGCTTTTTAAGGTCTCATTGATAACCCACAATTTCACATGGTCCAATTGGTATCTTGAGAAATTCGTGACATCTGCAATCTTGAGAAATCCAGTAGGAACTTACATAACATCTGATCAATTGACTGTACAAAAGTTTATCAAATATCTTCAGTTATGTTAATTTAACAAGCAAATACGCCGAGCTCCATCTTACAAAGTTGTTTTCGGAAGAAAGATAGGTAAAGACATGGATTTCAATTATGTTTTACTTCATATCGATGTAACTGGTTTGATTTTGCCTATCTTAAATTTTTATCCTTATGATACATCCTTATTGTTCTGTAGCTGCTAAAGACTACACACCTGAGAGCGCCATCCCTCTAGCCTACGAGACCCACGCAGGAGAGGACGTTGGGATATATGCACGTGGTCCGATGGCACACCTTATTCAAGGCGTTAAAGAACAGCATTACGTGGCGCACGTGATGCAGTATGCTGCGTGTGTCGGCGACTACAGATTCGACTGTAAGCGCAAGGAAATAAATGCTGCAGGACAACTTGTACCCAGTGTGTTGACAATCTTCCTGTCGATATGTTTAAAATTTATGTCAAGCATTTGACTATAGATTTCTGAGGAAAACCAATCGCCAACAGTCCCACTTCTTTAGTGCGTTAAGGACACATTTCATTAACGTTGAGATCGTAATATTGTCACACTGATTCATTGAATGTATTGTGTTAAGTCATGAATCATTTGTTAATAATATACAAATCATAAACACTCCTGGTAGTAAGACTGATAATGTGGCTTCATTTCGTACTGATAACTATCATTCGATGAAATAACAAAGCTATGTCATACCACACTTCCAAAATAGTAGCAACCTATCCCAATTAAGCCTACAAATCGAGATTGATCCATTTATAAATCAAGCAAAGATCTTGTTTTATGTTAAGGTTAGCATGATAACATCGTTAAAATCTCTTCATAACAATTTACTTAAAGACATTAATATTTTTATAACCAGATTTAATATTTTCATTGAACATGATGCTCTTCTCAACACTCACCTTGTTCCGTGTATAAAATCGTATAGACAATGTTTCACTAATGGCATTGTTCATAATATATTGTCGGCTTCATGTTAATTTTAATTGTTTTACTGAAATAAAATAATACTAATGACTTGTGTTATTGGCCGATTGATACAAACAGTTCGTGCTATCTGCTCACCATAGTCACAGATGTATGTTACATGCATCGATCCATGCAAGATTTTACAAACGACCCAAGCATCAGATACAGTAAAGATAAACGGCGAATTTGATTGCATCAGACAACTGTTTATTCCATCAAGGATTCGCCGGTGATGCCGAGGGCCTTAATCATTATTCCTGGGAGGTGACTTAAGAAATAAAAAGTGATCGAAAAAAATGTCAGAAACTAGATGGGATGATCCACTACCCCTAAACAACCCCTAAACTTCAATTTCACAATTTTGATTAATGCATAATTTCAAAAGAACGTCAATTGATACATAAAAAGTTCCACACTTGTTTTGTCTCAACAGGCAAATCATTCTTGTCTCAACAGGCAAATTATTCTGGGTCGACATTTTAAGATTATGAGCTTCCCATTCTTAACCTTATATATTTAAATATTATGGGATGTCTATATTATGAAATGATGAATTACACCTACTATACTCTCCATTCTAACCTCGACTTTTACAACGTCCATATTTTACAGACTACATCAATAGTATTTACCTTTCTAACACTGTCAACAATACCGAAGACTCATTACATCAGTAAGCCAGCTTGAATTACCTTGAAATATAAACGGCAGTGAAATGTATGTAAAGGTGATAGACAGAGTTTCCCGTCCAATACATATTATTAATGTATCTTGGGTATGACAGAAAATATCGATAATTTTCACGAGTGTGAGTCACCTCAATGTCTGTTCATTCTCTCACACCGGATAATTGTTCTTTTCATTACATTTTTCTTAAATAAATCTGTGTTAAAACATACATGAACAGTGAAGATAAATTTTCGTGTAGTGACCTTTAAGCATCAGTGTGACACCGAGTTTGCACCTGTATTCTAGTATTGTTCATTAATTAAGTTACCAGTGTGAATAGGTGTTTGATTGGTGCAGTAGATTGGTCTAATATGATGGTCACCACACTACCACAAGTATATCAAGTTGGGTTACGACACTGACATTCACAATGCTGACCTTGGCTCTGTTTATATTGGGACACGTATTCAACAGCTGGTCATAGTTTGTATGTAGCATATCCAAGGGCGCTTTCACGTAAGCAGTTGAAACGGTTGGAACAGTTCTACTTGTCAGAAAAACGTCAGGTACAGATCAGGACCGAGGCTGGACTGCAGAATATTTGGCACATGCAGTTTCATGAGTCCATCCGTACCTTTCCGAAACTAATTTGCTGAATATCATCAGTTTTCAGAATTTCAGCATAAAAACAGAAGGGTCCATGCACTCACATATTTCCGGGAGTATTGCGCAAGAAAGTATGAGTGAAATGGATAGCATATTGATCTCAGTTTATTGATTTGTGCTTGACAGGAAATTCTGATACTGTGCATTGTGAGTTTCACATATATCGTGTCCAACATCCGGTGCATGTGGAGTGGAATAAACCCAGACCAGCTGAACCGTTTCAACAGAGTTAGGCGAATGCAAGTCATAGTATTGTGTGTAGACAAGCTACCTACGATCAAAGCGTGACCTACTTCCAAATTATTTTAGTAGGTAGACCCTTTATCTGTATTTAGAGTGCAGTATTTAGAGAATCTTACGGAGCCCCGGAAGGGACATCAAAGTTGTTTTTCCTTAAAGTAACTCGTGGCCTCGTTTTAGTAATTCGTGGTTTCGGTTTACTAATCCGTGGCCTCGGTTTAGAAATCCGAGGTCTCGGTTTAGTGGTTCTATGGCTAGGTGATTCAGATTCTAACCCAATCTAATATTTTACCGGAAAACAAATTGCCTTTGAATTGATTTGTTTAAAATCGCAGTTTTTGCATCTTACTGCAGATGTGTTGATATTTCTATAAAAGTTTATAATTTATTGCTGTCTTTTACTGTTTTATGTTGATGTTGATTATACCTGTATCGTAGGAAAAAGGCATCGTCCACACCCCGTCTCTAATTGTTCTTTCAACAAAATGCATCTCTATTTTTTAGCATATTTCTTACATGAAGCACAGTAGCTAGTATCAATATGCATGGAATAAGAACAAATAATAAGATTATTGGTAGTTATGTGTTATGACAATTTTTTCTTGCTGTTCATATCCCACACACTTCATTACATTGATGAAGTGTTAATCACACGGAGCAGGCACGTCATCTCATGTCACAGATTTACATATACATGTGTATTCCTTCATCTACAGAAAACACCTCGTCTGGATCATGTTTCACCTGATTGAGACTACTGGACTTTGAAATGCGAGGCATAAACTGACTGTGTATTGTACCATTAATATGGCAAGCCGTTTTTAACATTTGATAGTTTTTAACAGTAAGGAACATATTGAATAATTAATTTTGAATGTATTTCACTGAAGTGGAATTTATTTTACACCATAAATATATATACATGTACGTGTTTAAACTGTATATTATTTCACTTAAATGAAAAGAATTTACCTCAGTGGAAACAAAATGATTATACCCCTGAGGTGGGGGTGGGATATACTGAAATCATTTGGTCAGTCCGTCTGTAGATGTATCACAAGAGTCGGACATTCTCTATGTGAAATATTATTCTTATACTACTTGAATGGTAGGATTTCTATATACATGTATAACAATAGAAAGCCTGCTATCTAATTACAGTATAATAGCAATATTTCACACACAGAACGCCCGATTCCTGTGGATGTACCAGCTACTCCTCCTAATTTCAACTACTTGATGGGTTTTAACGAAACTTGCTGGCAATTAATGATCCATGTGCATCAGCTATATCAGATTTGGTTATCTCCCCTCTGCCGGAAGTTATGCTCCGTCGGGCACGCAAAAATCTACCCGCTATCCCTCTGAAACTACACGATAGATATTTCAACATGCGTAGGTAGTTCGGTTATCTCCCCTCTTATTGTAAAATCATTCTCCTCCATAATAAAACTTTACCTCAGTAGTAAAATAATAGCTCCATATTACAGTTTACATCTCACTAGTTTAGATCATGTGGCAAAGCCACAAACCTGTTGCCACGGAAGCTACAAATGACGTCCAACTATACTGATAATTATCTTCCTTTGATTATTTAAAGACGTGTGTTGCACACTTCAGGGTCACCACTGCCAAATCCATTATTTCAGTTAAATAAAACAGCCAGTGCATATTCTTTACGTATTTACAAATGGTAAAACTGTTTAATCAAGGCTGTATTTAAACCGAGGCCACGGATTATTTAAACTGAGGTCACGGATTACTTATATCGAGGCCACGGATTAATAAACCGAGACCACGGATTGCTAAATCGAGACCTCGAAATGATAAACCGAGGCCACGGATTAACATTTTTTCGTGATATCCCTTTCCGGGCTCCGTAGAATCAACTGACGAAGCATGCAGCACATATCGACAACCGGTTTTTGTTTGCTATGTAACCGGAGCTTGGTTTTAATGACGTGCTGAATGGATCAAGATTGCTATCTCGTTATAGATGCAGCTTCCATTTGTCATTGTTATCAGTGTAAATGATCCTTCCCTTCGTCCGTTTTACTAAAGTTTATCTATGATGAGACCCAACTACGCCTTTTACACAAGTACTGTAGATACTGTAGAGCCATATTTTGCAGTAATTTTATTGAATTTGAGTTTGGATTATGATTATGTTGGCATGGTGGTATTTTCTTGTTATTTTTAGTAGCCAGTGGTTTTGTTCCGATGTGTTGGACAGTTTTACACCTACACTTTGTCTTACACTGTACTTAAATAACGAGGAAGCTTGTGAGAATATTTCATAGATTTCGACAGTGAACAAAACCTCATCACGTAGATATTACTATACAATAATAACTTACTATCTACTTGTCATGTTTCGCTTTATGATGTGATATTCATTACACAAATGAATTTTCTCCAAATAAAAGCCTTTCTCATCCGTCATCCTAAACAACAGTTTAATTGTCTCCCTTTATATTGGATCAGCCTGTTTTGTCAATTGACAAGATCTTTTGATAATTTTATCTGTCAAGTCGTTAGCTGGCCTTTAGCGTATCTAATACTAAATATTTAGTCTGAGACTACATGTATACTTTGTGCATGCTTTGTGCAATGGGATTACCGATGGTAAAATATGGTGAATAAAACTGAGGTTTCCGTAAATGTGAATGACGATATGATTCATTCAAATGCACCTTAGCGCCATGATGTATTCTGTATCAACAATAAATTCGTATTCTGATAATTACCTGATGTATTTTATTTAATTCGTCCTATGCTGCATATTAAACATGGTGATCATCATCATATGTAATAACTCAGCAGTCATTTCTCAATACATCTTGTGTTTCAATACAACAATAATGAAAAATGAAAAACAGATATATAACTTACTTTGTAAGGAAAAAA